GTGTGTGTGTGTCTGTGTCTGTGTCATTGGCATGGCTTGGCAAGCTTGCCGGTCAAGTTTGAGTTTAGGATGTCACGGGTGCTCGTGGATGAGTTTATTCATGATGGAAGTCGCTGGACGACCTGAGGGTGGGTTCATGGGGTGTGCAGCGTCAACGCTTGGGAGGCTTCGGCATCTTTGGGGATGGCAAGCCTATGGGAAGACTCTGACCCTCTTCTTTCGAGCCATCCTACACCCATGTCTTGGACGGCGCGCACATCCGGCCTCCAAGAGGTTCAGCCGCAGCTGCTCAGGATCTTCGGATTCGGCGCCCATTCGATGCCTCGGACTTTGCAGCTTTGGCGGAGTCGCTTGGCAATGTGCCAATACTCGGTCCCCCACCCGTGCTTGGCTTCCATCTGCTTCCGACGGATCTCGAAGAGGCGCAAGCTCCCTCCCATGCGAGCGACGTACTGGTGAAATTCCACCAGGCTCATCTGGCGGTCCTCACCCGAGCTGGGGTGGAGACTCTTTTTGCAACAGCAGCGGGGCCCAGACTCCATCAGTGTCGACTGCTTTCAGAAGCTTTTCTACATCGTCATCCTCCTGCCAATCAAATCTTGCTCGTTTTTCCTCCTACTGTCTCCCTGCCATGACCATCAATTCTCAACGAGCCTTCGGAAAGCCGAGGTACTCCAGCATGGTACGTATCTGTGGAGAGTACGCAGCAGATGCAATTGCTGCAGAAGCCGAGCTCAATGCCTCTGCTTCGGACAAGGTTTCCTTTCCCGGCTTCTTGAAAAGGTTGAAGGCCGCCGCCAGCGTGGTGGTCTGAGCAGTGCAACGCCAGGGTTGTGAAGCCGAAGGGGTGTGTCTGAACGAAACGCGGAGAGATGGACCAAGGCCTCCAGCTCAACTTCGTGCTCCAAACGCTCGAGGATGTCCTTGGCTTTGTCCTCGTCGCCCTCGCAAACGGCCGTCTCACACTCCTGCACCGGGACACAGTTGCCTTCAAGCCCGGAAGGTGCCCTCGGCAAACTTTCCTGCACGATGGCATAGAGGCCGTGAGAGGGAAGTGCGAGAAGAGGATATCTCTTCTGCATATCCTTGAGGGCATGCGCCATCTCACTCTCCTGAGCCACGGCTTTCCCAAAGCACTTTTTCTGTCGCCAAAAACAGTTCCAACCCCAACAGATTACAGCACTAGCCACGCAAACGAACGGCTTGCCTGACCGTTCCGTGAACAAAAATTAAACTCCTTGCCAGTGCAACGTGGACCACTTTGTGCTGCTGACGGTGTTTTCCGAGTGTGAAGAACATATTCGGCAACTCCACAAAAACATTTCTGACTATGCCGTTGGGTGCCAAGAGTGTCCGGTTTACTTGGATCATCCTGTCTTGAATGTTTCCAAGTAACAGCGTTCAGTGTCACAGCTCTCATCGGTCGTTCGGCGCTGTCGAAGACTATGATTCCATGCGAAATGCCGGAAGCTAAAAAATTGAATCCTTGCAATGCCTTGCACCCATAGCCTCAAAGTCCCCGAGGTCAGTACAGCAATGGTCCGTAAGCTGCCGGCCGGCATGCCGCGGCTCGCCTCTGGCCCATCGGCGGAGGGCCACGAAAGAACGGTCCTTGCTAGAGTCTCTCTCCCCCAGGCTTCGACGAGTCCACGAGTTCAGGCTTCGCCAGCTAGGCACCCGGCTCATCTTTCGTGTCCACGCTGGGCGCGAGGCAGGCGCTGCATCCCAGCTTCCACCACAGCATCCCTTCAAGATGCGGCCGCCAGGGCCAGTGCCCCGAGATGCTTCAACGCCACATCTTTCATGGCCTGACGTTTTGTCAGCAGCCTTGAGCCAAGAGAGGCCGGCGCAACATGTCAATTGAACGCTGGTCGGAGACGGCAGCCAGGACACCTTGCAGAGCACCAGAAGCGGAAATCATCATGATCGCCACATAGTCATGTGGCACACAATCAGGCTGTATGCAGAGAGTTCCCCAAGCCGCCCCCTTACTCTTGCATCCAGCCTCAAAACAACTGCGATTTCCGCTTCTGGAACAAAGCCATCGCCATCTGGCCTGGCTCGACAACGAAGACCTCCCTTTTGCTTGAGACCGAAGCTTGAACAGATGCAGAAGAAGGGCGAGTCCATGCGCTCCAAGACGTAGGTGAAGACGTCAGGACCTCCGTTCGCAGCAAAACGATGCTTAAGCAAGCGCCGTGGTCTAACAGCGCTTGCATCACTGCAGCTGCGAGAACGAAACAACTGCACAGACCTGTACAAAGCTCCATGACGAGGAAGAAATTAGTAACATCATCGAAGTACTCGATGACCTGCAAAGGTCCGTAGTCTTCACGTTCGGGCCAACATTGCAACTGATGCATGGCACCCCAATGCACCCTAGCATATATCTGCAACGTGCCTCTACAATGTGTGGATGGTCTAGCTCCTGCAAAGCCTCGGCCCAATGAATCGGAAACCTTGCAAGTTCGAAGCACTTCTCGTCAACGAGCCTTGAGTTCTAGCTGAAACTCTTCGTCTGCTGTGCCGGTATGCGGTATCTCCTTCACAGCCTGCACAAGAAACAGAAGATGATCAAGCCCAAAACCCGCATGGCATAAGTCTTCTGAGGCCAAAGGCTCGAAGCATACCTGTGCGGCGGTGGCGGGCCTTCTCAAGACGTTCTGGACAAATGCAGCTGTACCTTGTAGCTTACTTGGCGCACCTTGTGAACTTTGCCGAAGGAGCCTTCCCCAAGCACTTCAAGAAACTCGTACTCGCTGTAGACCTGAAGACTTTTATGTGTGCCGGCAGGTCTTGTTGCCCATCACAGGGCCAAAGCTAGCAGAGAAATTGTCTTCCCACAACTTGCTGTTGATCCCATCATGCTTGAGGGGGACGGACAAGGATGACTTTCCTTCAGGACCATCCACCCCTCCCCTACCGCGTGCCTGTCGGTCATTTTTCCGCACGAGATCCTCCGAAGCCGGGGTCGGGACTGCAGCTTCATGCTCACACTAAAGCCACTACTACGATCTAGACTCGCTCGTACTGCACCGCAACGGACCGAGTCATAGCGAAGATAGAGCACATCGGAAGGGGTTCGGGAAATGCACGTATTCAACTTCAAACTTCGTGTCACTTTTGCACAGGCCTGGATGATGTTTTGGCGTAAGTCTGTGCCCCTGCTTGGACTTGGGCGATGCGGGTGCTCGAAAGCCGGGCAATTTTTGGCTCTGAGATTCTCAGGATACACGCGGCTTCTGGCACCTCAGCTTGGACAGATCAACTCTGAAGGGAACACTGTACCACGATTCGGGATGACTATGGGGAAGCTCCTGTGTGACTCCAGGAGGTTCGGCCTGCGGAAGTGCAAACCCCGCCATCGCGAGCAAGAACAGCCAGGAGTATTTCCGGTGGCATTTCACAGCGGCCCGCCGTATCTCCACGGCTCACAGATTGCCCAGGCTGGCACTGGACGACCAACTTTGGGCATCGCCGAATAGTTGTGGCGGCACCCCTTGCAGACTGCAATCAGGTTGGTCGCGCCATTGCCACGTAAGGTTTAGCCTCAATACGCGTGAAATCCCAAGAGTGCCTTTGCAGGTTTGTACAAGGGCTCATAAACCGGCTGATAGAACCGCTTACAGCGAGTTTTACAGAAGGGATGACAGAACGGTAGATATGGATGAATGGATGGATGGACAGATCGATGGATGGATGAATGGATGGGGCGGTCCTTCTTTGCCTCCAGCGCTCTCGGGACTCTCGCTCTCTAGTTATTGCTGGCCATTGAGGCTCCCGAGCCTCGCGGCTGAACTCTGCGGGAGATGGGCAAACCACGGGGCTGCATGGGAATGCCTGAGCGTCACAAGAGATCACAAGGCCTCGGCCCATGCACAAGGATCCATCCAACTTCAGCCGAAGGAGTGAAAGCAACTCCACTCCCACTTAGGAAATGGCGAGTGTACGCATTGGAGTCGGCGTCGAAGCATTTGGATCCTGGCCAATGCGAGGATCCGCCAAGCTGGCCGAATGTCGTTCACGTGCTTCTCACTGTCTCGCTCTTCCCGCTCAATCTCTCAATGCCGACTCTTCCCCACTCTATCCTGCAAATTGCGGCAAATCTTGGTGTAAGAGTTGTTTTGCAACTTAGACTCATATGCTGTGGTTTCCCATAAGATCGCCACCAAAGGCAGAAGCGTTGGAAAGTCGCCGCTGGACCTTTTGGTCTTCTGTGTCCGGAGTGCCTTTGGACCATGTCTGTTCTTCTCTATGTTCCTGCCTTACGACAATCTCAGGCTTTGTGAATCCGAAGTCTTCCTTCTAGATGCTTCAGAGCCTTCACAGGAAGGCTAGTCCGCTGAGGAGCCTCCTCCAAAGGAGAGCACAAAGGTGACGGCGTCGCCTTCACAGACACGGAACTGCAGCCCTGGACTGAGACGCGGCACATCAGCCAGCTCGCGAGAACCCTGCCGCCGGAAAAAGATTATCCTGTGCTCTTTCTAGGGGGTTCGTGTGCTCAAGCTCCCCTTTGTCATGAGTGAGTTTTCACTTCATTCAAAGACTTCCCCGATACCTGCTGAAAAGCACCGAAAATAGGATTGCTTTACGGCCATGCCGATGAGATAGGCTACAACGTTTGGAAAGGTTGTCGAAATTGTGCTGCACCGGCATCGTACCCGAAAGATCACAGATGGACTGGTCAAGTCCGCATTGGCATAACGGCTCCGTCTGTCTGAGACATCGGCCCCGTAGCCACACTGCGTGTCGGCACTGTCATTTCGCCTTGCCGGGTGAGGAGTGTGGAGACCCTGGTTGCTTACAATATAACATAATATAATATACTATAATACAATATAAATATAATATAATATACTATAATATATATATAATATATATAATATATATATATATATAAGCTGAACGAACTCGGCCTGTCCATGGGTTCGAAAGCCCTGATGCGCTAAGCGCGAGGCTCGAGAGGGCAAAGCTTTGGACCACCTCGCCTCTTCCGATGCCACTCCTGCAGCTCTGTCCAGGCAGGACCCCCGAGCTGGCCACAGGAAAGCCCGCAAGAATACTCCGAAACTGGTGGGACTTGGGTCGAAAGTCGAAACAGCCTACGGCACAAAAGTTTCACCGGAGATGCCAACAAACAAAGGCCATTCAGCACACTCCAAAGTCTCATCACTTGTCCGAGCTGCTATAAGGGCGCACATTCGAAGGCCAGCGGCAAACCTTCGCATGAAAGGAAGCGTTTCAGTTCAATGATGTTCCACGCCAGAAGTCAGCGAGAGTGTCCACCAAGTGTGGCATGCAATGATCTCGTTCTCTTACTACGAAAATTGGACCTCTGCAAGCGTCACTCGAACGTGGCCATTTCCGCAGCGCCAGCGGCGAAATTCACAGCATTATTGGAGACATTGAAGTGCAAGACTGCAAGACCTGGTGCTGAAATCGTCTGGAGAGTGGTGGCACTCTGCATCATGGTCAAAGTGAAGCCTGCACCCACAGCACCCCACACCAGCGTGGGCTGTACAGAACAAGGGCTCTGAGCCTGTGCCGCCGACACAACTGAAGGACCCAAAGCTGCACTGTATCGCAAACTGAGGCAGCGAACAAAGCAAGCAATTTCTTCGGCAACAAACCGCCGGGCTTTGCATGAGGTTCGTGCGTGCATGCCGCAACCACTGTTGGGCAGCAGCTGCACTGTCCTTCCGTTTCGTCGTACAAAGCTAGGCAGGGTGAGACAAGGCAATGGGCTGCAGCTTTTTGCGTGCGATCACGCGCTTCTTGACCACAAAGAGGAAGCAGAGCCGTCCCTGGTAGCGCAAGACTTTGCCGGAGATTTTCGCTAGCTGTGACGCTGTCCTGACGTTAGCTCTGAACATCACCCACGATTGCAGGTGCAGATCTCATCGAAGCATCAGGCTCAGGCTCAGCTTGCCTCGAGCCACTTCTCAAAGATGTACCTGCTACCCGCTGGTTCCCACCCTGACCGTTCGAAGTCTCTGCAACTGTCTCACTTCGGGACAAGCTTGACTTCCTCATGGTCAGGTCACTTTGTGACTGGACTGCGACCGTCGCCAGCGGAGAACTTCGGTTCAGAGTCTTTTCTGGTGCAGTGCTGCTTTCTTGCTGATTGCTCGTCGCCCTGAGGGATGGCCTAGGCCTGGTTTCAGGCCCTGCGCCTCGGCTCGAAGTGAAGACGGCATCTTGCAGCTTCAGGCTTGTGCTGGGTGCTGGCAAATCTCTGCTTCGGCCTGCTGCACCCGTCTCGTCTGAATCTGGCTGCACCTGCTCAGAGGCGTTGCTCTCGTTGGCTTCCCCACGTTTGTACTGTGCAGTGCTGGGGTTTGCCTCTCCTTTCCAAGAACCTTGCGGCGCTTCATTTGCCCTCACAGCGTCGGTGACTGCTGGCTGTGCGACCTTCGGCTCATGAAGGTCACCGATTCCAGGATTTGTAGTCGGAGAAACTGTGGAAGTGCCAGTCTCCTCTGTGTGATTGGCATGTGGAGCTGCGTAGAGTGTTGCGGTCTGGTCTGCTTGACCGGTCCGGGCAGTGGAGGGTGAAGCCTCTTCTGCTGCCAGGCTCGCAGCCGCTGCACTCTTCTCTTCGAAAACTCTTTGCAACGCGTCCTCATTCTGCGCAGTTGCGGCACCCGCCGCCGTTGAAGCATTCGTTTCTTCGGCAGCTTCTTGTGGCTGCCCTTCGCCACCTGTTTGAGCTGCTAGAGCTTCGTCTGTTGTGGCAGCTGCGCTTGGGCCCCGTGCGTCAACTTGGGCCCCTGGCTCATCTGCAAGCACTTGATCTTTTGGACCCGCTGCTGTTTGGCTTGCCGGCCGATCTGCAAAGGCTCCACCTCCTGCAGCAGTTGCAGTCTGGCCCTTTGCTGGTACATCTGCCGATGCTGCGCCTTCTGCAATAGCTGCGGTGGTGTGGTTTTGTGTTGGCTCAATCGTGGGGGCTTCCCCGTCCGCGGCAATGACCGCATGATTCTGTGCTGGCTCTTCGGCCGCTTGGCTTTGTGTTGGCTCACCTGCAGGAGCTTCATCGTCCCTAGCGGTAGTGGCCGCCTGGCTTCGTGTGGGCTCCTGGGCCGCTTGGCTTGGTGTTGCCTCACCTGCACGGGCTTCATCGTCCGTGGCGGTAGTGGCTGCCTGACTTGGTCCTGGCGCATCGGCGACTTGGCTTTGTGTTGGCTCAACGGCAGGGGCTTCTTCGTCTGTCGTAGTGGCCGCCTGGCTCTGTGTAGGCTCATCGGCAACTTGGCTTTGTATTGGCTCAGCTGCAGGGGCTTCATCG